TCCTTATCTAAATACTGTCACTTATATGTTTTCATTGGGGGTAAACACCTGTCCACACACCCCCTACCTTTTCCTAAAGCAACCTGATCATCTGCAATCCTATTCTCCGTCTTACTCTAAATCTTTCAATAATAACTCCTACCCTACACTTTACAGGCATACAGAGCAGACCTTATCCCCCCTATCATTTTTTGCACTCTCTTTTATCCCCCTTTGCCTTTATACAAAGGAAACTAAGCAAAGGCTCACTCTGCCAATCCTAGGTACCTGACCCCGCTTCCATACATTGAATATAAATAATTGCACCAACCACTCAAAACTTATATCCCCACTTCTTTTTAACATTTCTATCTTTATCCCATCAATCCCGGCTGCCTTACCCCCCTTTCGTTTTTACTACTGCCTCACGAACTTCCCCACACTCACAACTGGCTTCTTCCTCACTCCTACAAGATGTTATTCCTCCTGTCCTATACACTGAAAATCACACTTCCTTATCTTCCTCAACATTTAATCAATTCCTCAAATAATCCTCCACTCGCAAATACCTCTAACTCTCCATTTAATAACTCTCCTCTCCTATTTTTAACTAACAAATCCATTTGTTCTCTAGGCTTTCTTAACTTGTTAATCTCACTCCAAAACAATTTCTATTATTCAACAAAATTTGTTGATAACATCTCACCACTCTCTTTTGCTCTCTTTTTAACATTGGCTTCCACTCCTCTTAACCTCTCTCTTTTTCTCCATAATACTCCTTCCCTTCCTTACATCACTTCTACTTTGTAAAATCTTTCTCATATGCTAACTGTTTCTCCCCTTACAACTATCGTTACATTATCATTCACCAATCGGCATCCTCCTTCCTCCCGCACCCACTTTCCTGTAACCACAACTTCTGCTGTAAACACCCTAACACTACATTTTTAAACCTCCCCCCATACCTCTTACGACCCCATTGCCTTGCTCTCATTAGCCCATCTATCCTCCCAATAGCTGTTTATCTTTTTACCCTAACAGCCTCCTCTTGTAGTTTTATAAACCTTACCTCTCTCTTCCCTGATTCATCTATCTCCTTGTAACCATCTATCTTTTACTCTCATTGTAGCTACAACTAGAAAGTGATCTGATATATCTGTGGCCCCTCTAAAAACAAGTACATCCTGAAAGTCTACACAACAGTCCTTTTATCTCTCCAATACATAATCCGACAAACACTGTCATTTCGCCTACATTAGTACTTGTATACTTATTTATCCTCTTTTTCTAAAAAGTATTACCTATAACTAAACCCTTTCTATACAAAGTTCAATCAAAGGGCTCCCATTATCCTTACACCTGACACCCCAAACTTACCAACCACTACCCTCCTCTAAAAGTTTCTCCTACATTATGGCATTCAGTTCCCCTACCACAATTACTCTCTCACTTGGATTCAAAAAGGCTCCCTATACATTTCCTTAACATCTCCCAAAATCTCTCTCACTACCTCTTCTTCCTTCTCTTCACCATTATTCCATACACGCTTATTATGACCCAATTCTCGGGCAACCAACCTTTACTATAATCCACAAAAAGTTCTTGATTTTACACTTTCAAATTCCCACTATTGCACCATTCATAACTGATGCATTTAACATTACTGCTACCCTTCCTTTGCTCTAACTCTCTCATATACTCCAGATTTAAGCCCATTTATTTCCCCCCACCGAAACACCCTACCCCCATCAGCTTTGTTTTTTCAACTTTAGGGCAGACATCCAACTTCTTTTCATTCATAACATCAGCAATCATCTGTTTCTCTTGTCATCTGCATCTACACCACGCACATTAACATCCCAGTTTTATAAAGTTTTCTTCTTCACTTTTAAAGTAAATGTCACAGGACAAGGGGTTAGCTAGCCCATTGCACCCCGGCATTTTAGTCGCCTCATACGACACCATGGCTTACGGAGAAAGATATCTTTACCACTTCCCCATGGACAATAGAAGAAATAAAGAAGAACATGAGCAATTAGAAAAAGGAGAAAAACCTAGATGAATCACCTATTGTTGTTGCAGGGGTCGAACACAAGGTCCAGCCCCGCCTCTTCGCAGAATGCTACAGTCCTCTCTCTCCTGCCCCAAGAGCCTCTATCATACCTCGCCTTAAAAACTATGTATGGTTCCTGCCTCCACCACATCACTTTCTAGGCATATTCCATGGACTTACTACTCTATGACTGAAGAAATACTTTCCTAACAACCTCTTTTTATTCATCATAGTCATCAACTTCCAATTTTACTGGTGACCTCTTGTTGTCTGTTGTCCGCCATCCAGTGAACATCCCGTCTTTGCCACCTCTGTCTATTCCGCACAGTATTTTATATGTCGTTTAATCATGTCTCCTCCTGACCCTCCTGGCCCCATTGTCGGTCAGCCCGATTTCCCTCAACCTTTTTTCATAGGACAATCCCCGAGCTCTGGGACTAGTCTTGTGCAAACCTTTGCACTTTCTCTAATTTCTTGACGTGCTTGGACTAGGTGTGGATTCCAAAACTGGTGCCTGGCATACTCCAGATATGGTGCCCTGACGTAGATGGTGTACAGAGTCTTAAACGATCCTTACTGAGGAATCGGAACAGCATCCGTAGGGTTTGCCAGGCGGCCCGTAAGCAGGCAACGAGTAATCAGATTGATGTGCGCCTCAGGAGAATATGCAGCTGGTGTTAAACTCACCGCCCAGATCTTTATTACCTATGAGTAGAGGTATGCAGTCTGTTTGGCCATCTAAACTATATTGTGATCTGCGTCTTCTTTGCCCCTTGCCTCCCCAATCTTCATGACTTTGCATTTGGCAGGGTTAAAATTCAAGGAGCCAGTTGCGTTACCATGCTTTAGCCTGTCCTAGATCCGTTAGAGTCCCTGCCTGATCCTCGTCCGATTCGATTCTTTCTCATTAACTTCACATCGTCGCAAACAAGGACACTTCTGAGTCTGTATCCCTTCCGTTAGGTCGTTCACGAATCCAAAACAGCACAGGTCCTAGGATTGAGACCCCTTTGGAACCCTCTTGTCACAGGCGCCCACTCTGACACCTTGTCCGCGTACCATGACCCACGTTTTGCCTCCCCTCAGATATTGTCTGTAACCATTGCAGTCCTTTCCTGTTATTTTAGTGCCTGGTCCTCTACTTTTGCAGTCACCTCTTGTGAGGAACTGTGTCGAAAGCCTTCTTGCAGTCCAAAAATACGCAGTCGATCCACGCCCTCTCTCTCTTGCTACTTCCTTTCTGTCACCGCTTGTCATAAACTCAATAGGTTTGGTGACACAGGATTTTCCTTGCCTGAAACCGTGCTGGTTGACAATTATACCTTTGTTTTCTTTTCAGGTGCCCCACCACACTTCCTCGCTGAGATCTTCTCCATGACCTTGCATACTATAACGTATGATACAGTTCTGTAGTTTAGTGCCTCATGTCTGTCTCCCTTTTTAAAAATTGGACACATTTGCCATTTCCCATACATCAGGGATATGCCCAGTTTCAAATGATTGTTGTTGAAGATCTTTGATAATGGCCTCACATAATATCTCTGCTCCCTCTTTAAGGACCGGGGGAATGGAGAGATGTTGTCTGGCCCACCGGCCTTTGAGGTGACCAAGTTCGCATTGCAAGCTTCTTCACCTCCTCCTTGGTTATATGTACCTCATCCAGCACTTGCTGTTGATGCCCCCCTGTTCTGATTTCATGGAGTCCTAACAGGTTACCACTGTAAATACCTCTTTAAATCTTGTGTTGAGGCTCCAGACATACCTCTTGGTCGTTTCTTGAGATGTATGAATTATATATATGCATGTGCGTGCTGAATGTGTGACCGTAAATTGTAAGTAAGGAGTAGCAAGATATCCCGATATCTAGCGTGTTAATGATGACAGAAAAAGAAACCAAGCAATCAACCATCATGCAAACAGTTTAAGGTTTCTGTTGTCACAGACACCTGGCAGGACGGTAGAAACTTCCCTGGTGGTTGCTGTAGTGTTTGGTGTGTGTTTGGTGTGTACTCACCTATTAGGTCTTGCAGGGTCGAGTCTTAGCTCCTGTCCCCGACGTGTGTGGTGAGTGTGAGTGGATAAGTATAATTAAATTCACGGGAGAAGCATTAAACCCATATGGGATCACACATGTCTGTTGTAATCAAATTCAATCCAAGGGAGTGGATGTATGCGAGATGCATTCAAACATAATGTGGATGAGAAATAATAACAATACAAATTGATACTCCATCAATTTATTACTGTCTTTCGTCACTTATTTGAGTAAAAAGAAACAAAATAAGGAAGTAGACACTCCAATACACTAAGTCAGTTCACCAAGGAGTTGAATGTCAAATCGATAAGCTTTAGCTGAGTTCGACCAAAGCAGCCAGAGCTCCAGTGTAAGCATCCGTGTGAAGACGCCAGGCTTACCTCGTTGTGCTGGTCGTCTGGGCGATCGTCATTGTAAGCATGCCATCCTAGGGTAAGGAAAAACATATTATGCTGATGAACATGAATGAAAGAGGTGATCCCATTATTACGATTGCCACACTAAGTATTAAATATCTGCTGTGTATTAGGCTGTTGTCTAAGGACTTAATTAGCTTCAGAATTTACTTACAAAATAACTAAAGAGAGTACCTATATCTCTCCACATTAGATGTACCTGTGTTTGTGGTTTCTGGTACCGAATGCAAAGGTATAATTGTGAGCGGAAATCTTATAAGTGGTCCTGTTTTACGAGCAAACTCACTCCAAACTCAACCAAATATAAATTTTATGAATGTTTAAGTGCTATCGTAATTTACTACGTCCGTGAGGGGCCTAGCTATTGATTCATACCGAGACACAATACACAAATAACCCGAACTAACCATACCACGGGTGGGGTTAGAACCCGTGATCAGAGAGTCTCAAAACTCAAGACCGCACACAGGAGAATGAAATTAAGGACGACGTATCGTCCAACTTGGACCATTAAATAATGAAACAAATGGCAGTAACTGGTATGAAGGTAATCACATAATTTTCCGGTGACTAACCTGAGCTGGTCCACCAACAAGGGCGCCCCAGAGGGTTTGTGGGTTTGGTCCGGAGTTTGTGAGACCGTTGGAGCAGTCAGCTGGCCTGTCGGGGCACGAGCTGAGAGAGAGTAAACTCATTATAAAATCATCTTTATCGTATGTAAGGCAGTTAATGTTGATACTTGATCATCTGTATATTATGTTAGGCAGTTAATGTTGAAAATCATAGCTGATTGTTAGAAATAACTCGGCTTCAACTTTTAGCCTTTGAAAAAGTGTTATATTTTTTAGATTTAAAATATAACAAATAGCTGGTGATGAATGTCATTAAAGTGTAGATTGAATATTAACAAATGATAACGAAGAAATGTTTCATAAAAATAAATTTTTAGAGTGTATGTGTGTACCTGGAACGGTGGTGAGGTCTGGTAGGAGGGTTAACACCAAAGCCAACAACGAAGGATTGATATCTTGAGTTGTCTCCCAGGAGCTGACCTATCTGTCCCCTGGCCCACTGTTGGTTGGTTCCTGCGTCAATACCCAGCTTGGCCGCCTGTAATTTATAAATAAAAATATACTGCAAATACTTTTTTATTAAGATAAATTTCCCAATATTATGATCAGAACAATATAAAAATAGAAATAACTCACTTTCTCGGGGGTTATCTAAGGCAATTCACATATGTTACTAAGTATGATAATTTACGTAACAGTATTTATGTACCTGTACCTAAATAAAGTTAAGAATTGTAAAAAGTTATACAACACTTCTTCTTTCCCGTCCTGGTGCTACAATGCTTCACAGAATATTTCACTGTTTCCCAAAATCACGCAGTACAGATCCTCCAATGACAGCTTGGCAGCGTAGTAATATCTGAGTTAGGTACAGGTACACACAAGTACATTATCATACTTGCGTAAATTACCAAAGATAACACAAATGATAAGAATGATTGGTCACTGACAAGTGTTTAAATTGGTAATGCTTTAAGGTATCTTGTGGCAGCTTAATGATATAAGTTATGTGGTTAGAAATTTTAACATTGTTGCTTTAGTTCTCTCCAAACTAACGAGTTCCACTCCCATAGCTCGGTTGGCAACGCACTCCCCTCATTTGAGTGTCCAGGGTTCAATCCCAAGCATGGCTGGAAACGTTGGGCATGTTTCCTTACACCTGCTGAATCTGTCACCTAGCAGTCAATAGGTACGTGGGTGTGACTTGACTATTGGAGGTGGCATCCTAGAGGGCAAGAGTTGAACACAACAGTTTAAATAATACACTCCTCGATAACTCGGGTTTTCCTCGATGGTTAACCCCCGGGATTAAAATCCCAAGAAATTTGATCTTACTTTATCTTAATGAATATAATAATAGTGTTGTGATGGAACACTTACATAGAGGGCGATGAATGCAACATTAGCTGCGTGACGGTTGGAGCCCCAGGCGTCCAAGAATACCAAGCCTTCAGGCGTGTAAGGTGCTTGGTTCCTCACAAAGTTCAGGAACTGGTTCAAAGCATTTGTGTACTCGGATGATCCGTCCAACAGTACGAGGAGTGCCTGAAGGTGTTAGAGAACAGTACTCAGTTAAATAATAAAAACGCACAATTCCGTGACTACAACAAAACACAAATAACTCGTAGATGAATGGTTCAGAGAACCGACATGTTGATAAATTAGACACATACGCAACTCTTGGGTATCTTTATTGAGGAAACGTTTCGCCACACAGTGGCTTCATCAGTCCATACGAAGGAGAAAATTGAAGAACAGGAGGAGAATGAGGTAATCAGTCCCTCAACCTTGAGTCGATGTGTTCAGTCCATCAATCTTGAATAGAATACGGCATATCAGCGGAGAAGCAGCTTATAAACCGTATGGCAGGAGAGGTGCAGCAGTCATAGGTCGTGTCACATTTGTTCAATGTGGAAGTAGGTCGTGCCCAAGAATTAGGCAAGCGAAGAAATTCCTAAGTATTAAGATCCCAAGAAGTTGCAGTGTCTGACAGATTTGTAGATGAATGGTTCAGAGAACCGACATGTTGATAAATTAGACACATATGCAACTCTTGGGTATCTTTATTGAGGAAATGTTTCGCCACACAGTGGCTTCATCAGTCCATACGAAGGAGAAACTTGAAGAACAGGAGGAGAATGAGGTAATCAGTCCCTCAACCTTGAGTCGATGTGTTCAGTCCATCAATCTTGAATAGAATACGGCATATCAGCGGAGAAGCAGCTTATAAACCGTATGGCAGGAGAGGTGCAGCAGTCATAGGTCGTGTCACATTTGTTCAATGTGGCACGACCTACTTCCACATTGAACAAATGTGACACGACCTATGACTGCTGCACCTCTCCTGCCATACGGTTTATAAGCTGCTTCTCCGCTGATATGCCGTATTCTATTCAAGATTGATGGACTGAACACATCGACTCAAGGTTGAGGGACTGATTACCTCATTCTCCTCCTGTTCTTCAAGTTTCTCCTTCGTATGGACTGATGAAGCCACTGTGTGGCGAAACGTTTCCTCAATAAAGATACCCAAGAGTTGCATATGTGTCTAATTCATCAACAAATAACTCGCACATAGGAGAAAGAAGTTTATGACGACGTATCGGTCCAACTATTACCAGTGATAAGTCATACTGTGACTTGTCAGTGCTTCAAGCCTGACTGAAACCTTACCACAAGCTTCTTTATCCTATGTGCGGTTATTTGTCTTGCTCCAGTATTGTAAAAAAAAAATTAATATAATTTTAGATAAAGACAAGCTTACCTGTACTCCAGCTTTCTTGTCATCCCAACCAAATTGACTTGGAGTTCCAAGTAGGTTGAACTCACTGACATGTCCCTTGGCTCGGTCAAGGTAGGAGTTGTCTCCAGTTGCCCTTGCTAGCCACAGTGCGGCCCAGGCCAGCTCGTCACCATACCCACTCCACGAGCTGAAGATAAACATGGTTATATTGTCTCGTGTACTTATTACCTCTTGGTATTTACATAGTGTACATGCTCTTTGGCTCATATTACTGCTCTGGTCTGATGTACATGAACTAATGTTATTGGCCTGGTCTTGAGGGTAACCTACCCATGTTCATACATTTTATCCACCAATTAATGTTACTGGCCTGGTCTCGAGCATAACCTCACGCTTTTTATACATTCATCCGTCACGAGCAAATCATGATAAAATAAACAATACTTACTTGTAGAAGCTAGCGGCATCTGTGATAGCATTTGTGTAGATATCGCGGTGTTGGTCGGCGAATTCGTAAAGTTCCTTGGCTACGCTCAGGACTTGGGATGAGTAGGACGAGTCCGAACTCTGAAAATGTGAATAATTGAGGGAGGGTAGTTTTCACCATAAAAATGTGTATATAATTTCAGAGGAAACTATCAGTAGCGAAATAATTTAAATTGTGATACAGAAGAATAAGAAAGATGAATTCTTGTTGTTACCACAGGGATACATGTTAAAAATCACTGACACTCATAGAGGCTCCCAAAATATTTTTGTTCGCAAGTAATTGAAAATTACATTCTCCTCTCGCCTTAAACAGTATTTGTACATAATTAACACCTTTGGATAACCTGACAAACCTTATCTACCCAAACCTACAAACTATGGTAAGTATCTCGCATCATAAGTTCGAGTCACAACTCTGGCTATTGTAACCCTCGTTCTACAGCCTGCTGACAGTTTTGAGACCACAAGACAGTGGATGAGGTGACAATACCAACCTCTTGAATGTGAAAGAATTCAACTAATATTTCAAGTGGTACAAGGCATTGATTAGAGGGGAGAGGAATCATCACACATACACGAAGTGACAAGATACTAATGAAATGGGACGATCCAAGAACACTGCGGTTAGGGTTTAACAATTATTTTCGATTCACATTCATTTCTAGACATTTAGCAGGATTCTTAGGGATAGTCCCTGATTCACTTTCAAGCATTTTAATACCAACTGAAGTGTTAAATTCAATTATGGTATGACTCGGGAAATCGTATTAACGCATTAGCCTGGAGTTTTAAGACTTGCCATATGTTCAAACCCCATCCGTTCCATCGCATGTTATCAATTATGGTGTCACTGATATTAGGAATGCCATTAGCGTTCATGTAGAACCACAAAAACCAACGACTGAGTTTAAGAACCATCAGCTGAAATTAAGAATTTGCTCTCACAAAGCATTATCACACGAATCATTATCTTATCTTACCTTGAAAACAATGGATGCTGCAGCCAGAGCAGCGGCTGTCTCACCGGCCAAGTCACTTCCTACAGGAGAGAGACAGTAACCAATCACTAGTGTTAAATCAGCATCAAGATTAATCAGTGTACATTTCAGGTCAGCAAATGCGAGTATAACAGAAAACAATAAATTGTTCTCAAATAAAGTCACATTAAGAACTTCTGAGAAGAACTAACCTGGACGTGATTGGTCAATCTTATAAGAAGGTCGAGACATGGTCATATCCTCAGGACGTCCCCAGTAAGCGTGATCTGTGTTCCCTTCGCCCACCTGAAGCCAGATCAATTGAGTTATTTACTGTAACTCGAGAATTGGTTAATAATGTGGGTTGTGGTTACATGGACTTATGAATTTTTATTACAGCTGTCAACTGTTTACATAATACAAACAACTAACTTGCTCCAAGAAATTGTCTGTCTATAAGCTAATTGTATTACTGACATTATTATAAACTAACTGTATATAGGGCTTTTCGGAAACCTTGTATCCACAATTATCCTTAAAGAATAAATTAAATTCTTGTTCAGTTAACAGCTAATTAACATCCGCATATCAAAGTCAAGTGTTGTTGTAGTTTTAACAAAAATCCCTAAGAGGAAAGTGGAAAATTTTTGTTTGTACTTGCCAAAAACTGTTCTGTTGTTTTTACAGAAACATTTATTTCAGTAAAACTAATGCATATATTTGAAGAACGTGAGTATATGATACAACATCTCTCAGCAAGGGTGATGCTTTTATCTTTTAATGTTCTTAATTTGTCAGGGACAATAAAGTGAGGCAGGTCTTAGGCAAATGCCCCGTCAACCTCTGTACTAAACAAAACCATTCACTAATGTAAAAGAAATCACTGCAGAGTGAAATACACACCTGACCGTAGAATTCGTTAGTGGCAGTGTGAGCTTTGAGGAAGTAATCAGTGGCCCATTTGAGAGCAGCATGACCATATGATGTCTGCCCTGAGGGTGACAACATTATCGTAAGCTTCTCAAAATCCAGTCCAAAGGTAAAATAAGCTAGTATTCTACACTGCTGTTAATACATAAGTTATACAAACTAACTGAAGTCAGCTAAACTCTAGTGACTGTTTAGTCATCAGTTTAGTTGGTGGCAAACAAGAATTGGCAGAGTAAATATTCAGAACAAGACTTACCAGCTTTGCTGTGTCCATTTGCAAAGTCAATTTGCCCCCAAGCCAGCATGGTTGCCGTGAAAGCCATCGGGAATCCAAACTTCACATGATCACCAGCTGGAGACGAAAAAGCATGGGAATTATAATTGGCTTTTAAACATTAATGCCAGTGTATCTTCATTCCAAAATGTTTACCATAAAATGAATGTTTCTTCATACCATCGTAGTAGCCACCAGTCAGGTCATGACCCACATCAGAGCCATCATTAAGAGCTGAGTCGCCACGCCAAGTGACGCGCTGATCTCCAGGGAGCTTGCCTGACCGCTGAGCCTCGTAGAATACATACGACATGCACAGTGCCTGATTGTAGGAACAAAGATTTAATACATGCCCTGTAAAGACGGGACAAGAGATGTCGCAAATGGACAATGTAATGCTTTAAGTAAAAAATTAAAAAAGCACGTAAAGTGAAAGGCTAAAGATACAGTTATATGTGATTCGACATAAGCCAGAAGTTAGGATAGTCTTCCCTGATTACAATTTTTTAACTACTTAATGCATAGTACTTTTTATTTTTTAGAAAATGCTTAAAAGTTTTGTGAAGTTTTTATTGTTTCTATATTTAGTAATTTATATAGGAGAAAAGGTTATTAGCTTCTTGCTCCAGGCATTTTAGTCGCCTTTCTACGACATTCATGGTTTACAGAACACTATTTCACCAATATACTGACCTGGCTGTAGTCGTAGGGACTCATGCCAGTTGATGCACAAGGATTCGGTATGTCTGCTGACACTGTAGTTGAGTGCAGTAGGGCCAGGGCCCCCAGCAGGCAGGTCTTCAGCAGGATACCAGTCATGTTTGCAGTAAAGCGAGTGACTGTGGTACCAGAACATGACTACCCGACCCTTTATATACTCAGTTGATATCTGAAAATTCCCGTTCTGACGTACATACTCGTGCGTCACGAAAAGAAAATTTGACAGGCACATAATTTGAAGAAAACCATAAGGTGTATTTCCCATCAACGATATTCTCTTTACTTTCTCCCGTGTATCGTATGACAAGGTACAGCTATGAAATATGCATTCCGTCGTATGGTATATTTAACTCGTACTCACTTAACTGTACTCACCTAATTGTGGTTGCAGAGGTCGAGACTCAGCTCCTGGCCCCGTCTCGTCACTGATTGCTACTATTTTCTCTCTCTCTCTCTCTCTCTGCTTCCTGAGCTTTGTCATACCTCGTCTTTAAGCTATGTATGTATCCTGTGTATGGTGTATGTGTGTGTGTGTTTGTGTGTGTGAGTGTGTGTGTGCGTGTATGCAGTAGATTATTATATTACACAGATTTATTTGCTACTTTTGGTTATTGCACTATTGAGAAATTGCGGCACAATTTTATACAGCACTTTGAAAAATTAAATTTATACGGTTCCGTTTGTGGGCGTGGAAAAAATTTCCGCAGCTCAAGCTGCCACCTTGTTGTGGGTCAGCGGGGGAGACATCCCGCCATCCCCAACACACTCTCCACCACCATCCCAGCCTTCGTGAATATGTGTTCAGTTCCATTCTATCTTAAAAGGTAGCAGTGTTTGTGAATTTTTTGTTTGTATTTTAATTACCATATCTTGCATCTGCCAAGCAATCTTGTCATCCAGTAGGCATACCAGCATTGCTGAAAGTGGTAAAAAAAGGTATAAGTGTTTAAGTCTTTGAGTTAACAAAGAAAATAGAGATATTAGACAAGAGATAACCTATGACCGTAATGAAGCTTCACTTTGTGCAATTAAAAGAATGAGGTAAATATATGAGTTTATGTGATGAATAACTGACTGAGTTGATTGACTGGCTTACTTGACTGATTTACTTGACTGACTTACTTGACTGACTGATTTACTTGACTGACTGACTTAAAGTGAACCACGTTGTTTCCGCTTTGGTAAGCTTGCCTTTGATTGACCAATGAACCAAGGTACCGATTTAACAAAGGGTCCTTATTGATCGTTAAACCATTAGCACCCGGTTCGCTGGTTGGGAGGCAACTAGTGACATACTCTGATTAAAATGTAACATACTCTTTGCATGCCACATATTCACAGTGGAGACAGTGAGGCTGCCAGCAAACTGAGGGATTAGGGTGCATCAGCAAGTGCTGGACACACTGCATACAACCGAGGAGGTGAAACTGCTAGGTGAGCTATGGGGGCTCTGAGAGAGGGAGCAGATGCAATGTGTGTGCCACGTAAAATAATTTTCAAAAATTATATTGAAACAGGAAAACTGCCTGAGGTGTGGAAGACAGCAAACATAGTCCATTTTTATGAAAGGAAACAGACAGTACTAAAGCATAGACCCATGTTGCTGACATGTATAGTATATAAAGTTATGGAAAAGATTATCAGAAAAGTGGTAATGCACCTAGAAAGGGATGGGCTTATACACGAGCTAGCTTGGCTTCAGGAAAGGGAAATCCGGCATCACAAACCTACTGGAGTTCTACAATAAGGAAAAACAAGTAAAACAGGAGAGAGGGGATAGGTAGAATTCATATTCTTGGACTGTTAAAAGGCTTTCGACACAGTACCACAAGAGACTGGTGGAAAAGCTAGAGAAGGCAGGATTAGCAGGGAAATAGATCACAGAATACAACAACGTGCGTTCGTAAGTTAGAATGGGTACATGTGTCGTGCGGGGTTCCACAAGGGTCAGTCCTAGGTTTTTAGTATTTGTGAATGAAGTGACATAAGAGGCAGAAGAATACAAGTTGTCGAGGATCAGGCAAGCCTACTAGAAGATCTGGACAGGCTGAAAGCCTGGTCCAACAATTGGCTCCTGGAGTTTAACCCCAACAAGTGCAAGGTCATGAAATTTGGGAAAGGACAAAGAAGACTGCAAACGGAGTACAGCATAGAAGGTCAGAGGCTGCATAACTCACTCAAAGAAAAGGATCTTCGGGTGAGCATCATACCGAACACATCTCCTGAGGTGCACATTAACCAAATAACTGCTACAGCATATATGCGCCTGGAAAACATAAGAACAGCATTCGACATTTAACTTAAGGAGTCATTAAAGACAATGTACACCATGTACATGAGACCCATATCGGAGTATGCAGCATCAGTATGGAACCCACATTTGCTCAAACACGTCAAGAAGTGTTAGAGAAAGTGCAAAGGTTTGCAATGACACTAGTCCCGAAGCTAAGGGGTACACCCTACGACGAGGAATTAAGGGAAATTAGCCTGACGACACTGGAAGACAGGATGGATTGGAGGGATATGATAGCAACAGAAAATACCGAGAGGAATTGAGAAGGTAGACAGGGATAAAATGTTTCAGAGATGGGACACAGCAACAAGTTGCACAGATGGAAGATGAAAACTCGGATGAGTCAGAGATGTTAGGAAGCATTTCTTCAATCATAGTTCTCAGGAAGTGGAACAATCAGGAGAGTGATGTAGTGGAGGCAGGACCCATACATTTCCTTAAGAAGAGATACGATAAGGTTCTTGGAACAGGGAGAGTGGACCTAGTAGCGATTAACAAAGAGGCAGGGCCAGAGCTTTGACTCAACACCCTGCAACCACATACAGGTGAATATAGGCGAGTACACAAAATAACACTGCATTTTTTCTTCCTGTAAGATAAGTGTCAGGAGGCAGGTGTAGAGGTCACACGCCCCCCTCACCCCTTTCTCAGTAGTCAGCTGAGATAGTAAATACACCCATCTTATCCTATGAGAAGGTGGGTGTGGGACACTGACGCACACATACCTGCCCTATCAGGTGGGTGCTGGGGGAGACAACTTTGCAGTCTCCTTGTAACTTTTCAGGTGTGGGAGGACACACACACCATTTCAGAAGGCAGGTGTTGCGAATTCCCACACTTCCATTACCTCTCACTTACGTTATCAGGAAAAGCATAGAGAATATTCAAACTCAAGAATGATTTTATTAAAACTTATCATAGTAAGTTGAAAAAAAAATAGACATTTATTTAAAAAAATCCTAAAATGTTCTAATTCGTATAGTGCAAGCAAAAAAAAAAAATCTCTGAAATGAACCTCCAAAAAAATTAAAGCTCTTACATGGAGATCATTATATACAAAAGTTTTAAAATGTGTCTGTACATAGTGCATTACAAATGCTCATTTTTTTCAGAGGGGCACCGCCTCCAAAATTTAAAATAGAAAATGCGGAAGAGTCTGAAACCTCCTAGGTAAAAGAAACCAACCCGGTAATTAACTTTTGCGTTGACGTTTTCGGGACAGTTACCAAAACCCAAACACTCTCAGATATACAAAATGAAGCTTTGTGTGCAGGCACATGAAAGCACTCAGGTGTTTTTCCTATTTTTGCTCTGGTATTTTTATTGCAGTCATGCAATTATGATAATTTCTTCCATATATATATATATATATATATATATATATATATATATATATATATATATATATATATATATATATATATATATATATATATATATATATATATATATATATATATATATAAATATAGGGAGGTACCGCCTCTAGAACTGTAATAGGGACCCTCATCCTCAGAGAAAAGAATAAACTTGCTTCAGGGAAATCTCAAGGTTCTTCCTGAAGCTGTTTGAGAATTTTCTCCTACCACCCCCTATATTTTATATATATTTTATTTAAAGACAAAATACATTGACAAAACATTCACAAAAAATACGATAGAAAGTAAAACAACATAGGTGACTCAGCGCTACATCTCGAATACTTCGTCCAGCTCCCCGGCGGTGGGCCGCGTGCACAGAAGGCATTTCCTCTCTGGATTGCAACACTGAGTCTCTGAAAGAGGAAGCTGGTCGCCCTGTGGCCCTTGGTTTCTATGATGAGCTTTTCACTCAGCTCTATTAGGAACTTTAGAGCACACTTGCCCCATGCTCCAAGGGTCTCCGACCCTATTGGGATGAAGTTATAGCAAGGGGGAAGGTCTTCATATTTGTGGATCTTCTGGGTCTCCCTGTGGCTGGCAGCTCCACCCCCTTCCACTACGGAGTATGGCAAGTAGGTGTCTGCCAATGTGGCAGCACAGGTGTAGTCCCAGGCAATCTGCTTTCCATCCTTCCAAGGTAGCATAATGGCTCCATCAGGACGCTTTTGACTTCCGTCAGACCTCTGCACTTGGGGTTCCCGTTGAGCTGGGCAACGGGCTGTGGCGAGGCTTCTCTTTATGATGTCATTGACCTCCTCATGCCTGGCATACTTCCCTTCTGCTGTGTGACACACGAGACCATGAAGTCCGAATTGATCAGCTGTCGCCCTGCCGCAAATACACCTATGTTCGGTGAGGATGGGGGCGGCTAGGCGAAGAGCAACACCAATCCGAATGGCCTGTGGGTCTAGTTGAGTGCCCAAGGAGGAATTGGGAACAGCTAACAGGAAATCTCCTGAGTGTGGTGCCTTCACTGCCAGGAGACGAGCTTTGTCCTTTCCTGAGGCATTGGAGAGCATTGTGTTGGCGATTTTTTCCATGATCGTTTTGTCCCAGTGGGACTGTTTGGGTTCTTTGGGAGGAGCTGGTCTACTGGAGGAATCTGTAAGGGTGTCCCACCGAATCGCTGCTTCAGTAAACCTGGGGTCTTGAGCTCCTACCACGTCTCTCAAGCGTTCGGGAACAATCTTCTTGACTAATGCACTGGAAGCCAAACATGAAGACAGAAAAGCGGGTAAAGCAACATGCGTTGCTTTGCGCACCCCTATACCTCCCAGTCGCACTGGGAGGGTTGCCTGATCCCATTGCTGATCCTCTAGTGACAGGTTCAGTGCCTTTTTAAGGGTTGACCTCAGGTGTGCGTCATATTCGTCGAGTGTTGGGTTGTCGAAAGAGGGTGCACACCTCAGGAAGTGAGTCTTTGAA